ATAAACTGTTACGGCACTGATAGAATTGTTTGATAAAACTATCCTATTTGTCATTTAATTTTGATTTTAAATTTTTAGATAAGTTTTGTGTAATGTGAAATATGCAATAGGCTGCATATGTTTTGGGAAATACAATTGGAATGGCTGCATTGAGTGAAGGATCTGCATGTATCAAGAGATTCGTCATTTACTAATATTTGACAGACAAAACAAGTTTTACATTTGTTATCAATTATTATGAAAACTCCTAATAGCATCTGATACCGGTTGGTTCAAGCTGTATTATTGTTAACTAGAGCTCCTAATGAGTCGAGTCGAGTTGAGTCATGAGTCAAAAACCTTAATTTTAAAATACTTTTTATTAAGTTAGAATATAATCAAACAAAAATTTACAATTATGCGAGTCAAAAATGCAAGTTTATGCGAGTCATTTTCGGAGCTCTATTGTTAACAACTACATCATAATATTTAAGCTATAGGTTCACCTGATCTGAAGACATCCAAAGTAGACGAGTTAAACGATTGTCCTTATCTAATTCAAAATCAACAACCCAGTGTAAGTCTTCAGCTTTTTTTTGCATTAATTTTGTGAGTAATACAGATGTATCATTATTAATCTTGTCAGCTTTTTTGTATTTTTGAATTACATTGGCCAGTTTTTATAGGACCCTGGACATTACATATACAAGTAATACAACTCAATGGCAACTTTTTCGCAAATTTACTCAAATTTCACAAAAAAAAAAATCATTTTTTTGCGATTATCTCAGCATTCAGTGGTCCAATTTGTATGAACTTTTTTTTGTTTTGTAGCTCTCATCGAGCTCTACAAAATAAAAAATATTTGCATAAATCGGATCACTGAATACCAAGATAATCGCAAAAACAGAAAATAAAAAAAGAGCAAATTGGGTCTTTTTTGGCAAAAAGTCAGTTGTGAGTTCTATAAGAGATGTCTGGGGTCAGCATAGCGGACATCTCTATTTTATCACTATTTTATCGATCATTTGTTGATCACTTGTATGATCTTATCACATAATACAAGTTATTTATTATCAGCAGATAACAGGGAAAAATTTTACTTAATACATGGCAAAATAAAATAAAATAAATAATTTACTCTTGTATTTTCAAGATCTAAACAAAAAGATTTTGTTCTTTTATTAAAAGTCCATTAATAACAAATAATTAGCTAAATTCTCTATAAGCAAAAAACCTGTATTATAGGCCGAAATCCTGTATTATTTTTTTTGTAAATTATATATGATAAAAGGGATGTTTATGCAAAGTTTTAAGTTTCGGCCTTGCATATTCGACTCTGGCCATCAATTTTTGTCTGGTGATCAGCCGAAATTTCAAATTATCACATATTAATAATATAGTATACAAAAATTAAAGAATTATATTAAAATTATGTAATTAAGTTATGTAACTATTAAGGTGCTACACTTTGATTGATTTTGTTAGGAATTTACTTTGCTAGATACTTTTTTAAAATTTTTAATTGTTTTTAATAATAAGAAAAATGTGATCGGCAAATGATCGGCAAAGTGATATAAAGCATGTCCGCTATGCTTCTAGGGTCCTGGTCTTAATCTTGAAAATGCAGATCTGGAAATCAGGCTTTTAATAGATTTTTTTGAACTGTAAGTGTTAAGTTTCCATGTTTTGTCATTAATGAAATTTCATTAAGCGCTTCATCAGTAAATAATCTATACTTTGTTGCAAATTCCTGAGTTTTAGGCACAAGTATATGATTATGTTGATTGATGAAAGTTGTGACACCTATTTGTGTTGCTTGATCAGGAAAGGACAAATTTATATGCCATGGGCAATTTAATTTTTTTGTTTTGGTATTTTGTTGTGTTTCTTTTAATGCTACTTCTGCCATTTTTTTGGACTTGTATTTTCCACTAAATTCACAAACTAAGGTTCTTTTATAAACTTGACCTTTACTATTTTGATCCATTTTATATTTAATGATTGCAAATCTATTTCTAGCGCCATATTCATCAAAATAGTTATCAACTTCATCCTTAGTATCTTTAGGAATATCTTCGGACTTAACTGCTATAAATATGAAGATATATGTAATATTACTATATTAGTTTATATGTGTAAAGAAGCAGTAAAGGTATATGATATAAATGATTCAGTAAACATAGTAAGTACCATATATCGTGGGCTATAGTACCCCCCTATACATAGTACCCTCTTGAAAAATTTCATAGAATTATATAGTACTCAGGGGGATATTTTACAATTATCTTGTGATCCAGTGATCAGATTTGAGCCATCTTTTTTTGTTTGATAGCTCTCAATTGAGCTCTTCAAAATAAAAAAAGAACGTTTAAATTGGACTGGTAGATCGTGAGATATTCGCAAAAAACAGAATTTTAAGCTTTATTTAGTAACCGGGGGTACAGGGTCAAACCCCCGATTTTTGCAAGATACCCGGGTACTGTGGTCCGCTATATACGGTACTTATTAAAGTATTATTATTTTCTTTATCAATATTAATATATTCAATACCTTTTATATCCTGCATGTCATTTATATAAATAGGATTAAATTCAACTGGATATATATTCATTAGAGCTTATAATATCTACTGAAAAAAATAAGGACACAAAGAGATAATAAGGACGTAAAAGAAAAATGAGTCAGAGGTTAAAGTATCAGTGTCAGATTTTCTTTAAATAATAATAGTTTTACTAAAGTTTTTTGGTATCAAGAATAAAAAAGGAATAACTGTATGAAAAGTTATTAAAGGTTGTTTACTTGTTTATGTTATTAAATGATGTGATTTTGTTAAAACGAGAAGGATGGTTTGTTTATGACATATTATTTCAGTTTATATTAGGAAATGTGATATATCTTGATTTCGCTTTGCATATAAATCTTACATAAAAGGCTTAATTGTTAATTATGTCATATTTTTGATTTACATTAGGAAATGCGATATATCTAAAATTTCGCTTTGCATAAAATCTTGTGTAAAGAGGTTTAATTATGTCATATTATTGATTTATATTAGAAAATGCGATATATCTTAAATTTCACTTAAACAAAAATCTTGTGTAAAGAACAAGGAGTTTAAATTTTTTTTTTTATATTAGGAAAATACGATGTATCTTAAATCTCACTTTGCATAAAAGTTTATATTTGTGCGATCATGCACTTATAGCCAATCAGATTTTATTTTAATATCATGTGAGATTTAATCATTTCGCCTTGGACAAGATAAACATTTATTCTTTTTTTTAAATAAATAAATTTAATAATATAAATTTTATTATTATAGTACTAATAAATTATATAATATAAAATAACTAATACATTATTTAATATCAAATTTTTTTTTTTTAATATTATTCTTAAAAGAAACAGGTTATTTTTATTAATATAACTGATAAATTAGAAATATAACAAATTAAACCTTTACTTATATAATATAATATCAGATATATTTTATTTATTTTTTTTATTTACCCTTATAAGGATCAATATTTAATTATGGTAAAAAGTTTACATAATCATAAACAATAACCTCTAAAATACATTCGACTAGCAAATGTTCCCAATAAACTCAGATATATTTTATATGAAGTATTAATTAATATAAAATATTATTTTATAAAAGTAATTTAAATTAATATATTTTATATCTTGCAAATATATTTTAATTAGATAATAAATTCAGTTTATTTGCCTTTTTTGATTTGACTATTCAGATTTTTATTTTAAAATTCAAAAATTTTTAATTAATAAAATTTAGTGATCCAATTATTAGATTAAATGATATCATAATTATTAAATTTTTGGCATGGAAAATCAATTGTAAAATATTTAATAAAATAAATAAAATTGCTAATCTTTTTTTTTTATTTATTAGAATAAGAAATTTTTTTGATTTTTATACTATTATAAAATATAAACTATTTTATTGGCTAATTATCTTAATATGAAAAAATAAAAATTTGAATTTGTAATTTATTGATGACCAGAATATGAAAACTGAATTTATAACTTTATATTACCTTATATATTATAATTTGTAAATAATTAAACTATGATAATTTAATATTTATTTTAATGTGTACATTTGCAAAATGAATAGATAGTCAATTAATTTTAATATAATTAAAAACCTTTTAATAAAAATATCATAAGTTAAAATATTTAAAATAGGTTGATTATAATTTAAACTAATTTTTTGTAATTTTAAAGTAGGTGTAATTTTTGATAATTTTCATAATATTTAAATTTAATTGAATGGTTCAACAATCATATCATTCATATGATTATAATTTTGCTAAAATTCTGGCCAAAATAATTCTGGCTAAAATTCTGGCTAAAATCATAGTTAAAGTAGTACTTTACAATTTTCAGTTAGAAATTATAGACAATAAATAATGTTAATTACAACTAATTATAGATTTGCAAAAAAACCATACAATTTTTGGCAACTATTCTGAATATTCTACTATGAATACATTAAAAAAATAAAATAATTTAATATTATTAATCTATATATATATTTTCTGTTATTTTTAAAAAATCTATACAATTATACACTATTTATATTTATATATGCTTTTCTGATTAATATATATAATTCCTATAATTTTAAAAAGATTACTAAAGACTTGCTATATATATAATAAAATTCCAGAAAAATATATATAGTTTATATTTTGATTTTAGTAAATTACTTAAAGTTTAACTTAAAGTTAAATTTTTGGCAAATTGGGTACAATTTGGTGTAAGTTATCTTTTTAAGTTTTAGTAAATTACATCAATTTTTATAAAGTTATAAATTTATAATATTATTTTGGCAGATTGGTACCTTTTTAGTTATTCTTATAAAAATATTAATCTTTACAATATTGAACCTAGTGAAATGGATAAGGTTTTATGATTAAATATAAAATATAAGTGAGGATATTTGACTATTTATTTCACCAATATATAAATTGTAATGGACCTTTAATAACAAGTTTGATATATTTCATCTTTAAATATTTTATTTTTTATTATTAAGTTAAAAAGGAAAAAAAGAACTATTGTTTAAAAAAAAACCTAAAATACAAGAAAATAAAAAAGAAATTTTTTCCTCATGAAATTATTAACATTAAACCTTATCCCCGAAAAAATGTATGTATAAAAAATTACAAAAATGCGGTGCAAATTTCTAATGATATGACATCCCGAAGGATACCAAAAAAAAAAAAAAAATTACAAACCAAAAATATACATTACACAAATAAAATGTGAAGTTTTTTTTGGGAAATCAAAAACTTTTTATTATTTCTCGCCTCGAAAAAAGATAACAATTTCCTTTAGACATATTGTCTTTTTAATGCTTGGTCTCCCGAAGCGGCATACTTTTCATCAATTTTACGATATCGTTCTTCAACATTTCTTGCCTGGATTAAAATTATAGTTGCAAAAAATACAAAAATATTAACCGTGATAAAACCGAAAAGTGTTGTGAACAATTGACGTAAAATTTTATCAGCGACTTTTGTTATAGGGTTTATACAGGCATCTTGTGTAATATCATTTGCTGGACAAAAACTTGATTCTACTCTAAGATCCATATTATTTTGATAACCACAGCATTGTAACTAAAAGAAACCAATTAATTTAGAATATATATAATATAAACAAAAAAAAAACAATTATTTGATTATAATTATTTACCTCATTTTGGAAAGATGCTCTCGTTTCGTCATCCAACTCCGCCCACACTTCACCAAAGTGTTTTCGTTCATTTAATGTCTCAAACCAAATGGTTGCACCCAAGGCCAATAGTGCAAGTGAAGTTAAAACAATGAAGAATGTATGTGCTAATAACCAATTCTTACGTTTTAACGGATTAGTAAACCCAATAAAACCAATTAAAAATGAGAAGACAATTGAACCGCCAACCCCAAACCCGCCTAAAAATGAAAAATATATAATTTAATTGACCATTGAATATTAATTTAATTTTAATTCTATGTGTTGAAAGATTAGATTATAAATAAAACATACTTAGAATTAAATCTGGTGTTATTACAATACTTCTAATGTTAATGCCGAGAGAAGCGAGCCATTTAATACCAAGAGCTATAATTACGGCTCCTGTGGCTAAATAGCATAATTCTAAAAAAGCGAAAGAAACTAATAATGTTTTGCTGATCGCTTTGTATGATGATTTCATGTTGTAATTTTAATATATTATATTATCTAAAATGTTTTATATTATCCGTTTTATTTATCTTGAACCAAGTCAAAAAATAAAACGAAATAAAAAAGTTCTAAAAGAGGTTGTTGGAAGAGGGAAGATAAAATGATAAAATATTTATTATGTAAAGAAAGGAAATAGTTAAAATGATCGAGAAGATTTAAACGACTTCCAATCGTAAAAAAAAATGAAGGTCAATAATGACTTGCCGGCCAGCAACAAGGGCAAATAAAAAGAACGAAAGGTAGAAAAAAAAAAATTATGAAGTTAAAAAGCCTTAAACACCTTTTAAAAAGGATTTAATTTTTTGATGTAACAAGGAGGTACCACCACAGTTTCAAAATGCAGATGAAATTTATATAACCTGCATAATTAAAATGCCATAAATAATATTATATATATTATATAATATATTAAATATATGAGTTTATATATTTAATTTTTTTTTATAAAGATGAAAAAAAAAGATTCGTATATGAAAGAGGAAAAGGAAAAATAATAGACATTTTACGAAAAATAATGAAAATCGATTAAAAAAGGTTTAACTAAATTAATCAATCGAATTTAATAATTTATCAGTTTAACCAAATTTGGTAAAATAAACGTGAAATATAAAGCTTACTTTAATTGTTTCAATAAATTATGAAACCGGTACGAACTTGATTAAATTAAGATGATAAAAAAAGTGGAGAAAAAAGGGATAAAGGGTTCAAAAATTCATATCGTATGACTTATATACAATAAAAGTATTGGAATGATTTTAAATGACTTAAATGACTTACTGCAAACAATAAACAATATATTAATTAAATTTGTAAATTTGCGTGCGGATTTCGGATTTTCGGGTATATCGGACTTATTAGTATTTTCCTCGCCCTTTTACCTAAATTATAATAGGTGTCAGGCCATATAGGCCATATATATATATATTTATTTATGAAACGTACAATCATTCCTTTTATATAATTATAACTAAAAAATCTGTGTAACGTTCCCTAACATTATACCAGACAACGAAACATTTACGGTTTTACAACGTTTTAACGCATTCTTTTATTTATAAACGTTTCAAAGGATTCATAATAATCAAATTACAATTTTAAAAAAAAATTTTTTTTTTTTTAAACCAATCAATCCGGAAATTTTTTTTTTTAAAAAAAAGTTATATGCACTTTTTGATACATTGTTCATAAACTCCTTTGCCACTTTACAAAAAAGCTGTGATGAAACAAGGGATATATCATCAGATTTTTATTTTTTATTTTCGTAAATATATGTAACAGATTTTATTGGTGTGTCACAATTTTTTAACCATCAATAATTTTATTATTCATCAAATTTTCTATTTAATTTATTTAATTAAAATTTCAATTTTGCATTTTTTCTTTTATTAGCTGATAAGAATAATCATCAGTTGTGTAAAAAGTTTTTTAATAAGTGAATTAATTATACGCTGTTTCTCCTACGAATTCCTCGTTTATCGCCTGATTTATTTTGATCTAATAAATGATTTAATTTACCGTCATCTTTCCATTTTTTCAACATTTCTTTACCAGCTTTATATCCAACTTTTAAGATTTCATCAAATTTATTAAATTCTAATGTACCATATTGTTGCACAGGTAATTGCATGTAAAAACATCCAGGAGTGTTTTTGGCATCTTCTAAGGGTCTAACACTACTAGCATAAGCCAATCTAGATTGTATATCTGCCATTGAAGGTATATTGGTTTGTTTGGAGAAAGGATTTAATCTATTTAATACTACCCAAAATCCAGATAAACTATCCCCATAATAAACGGGAGATGTATCATCATGACTCGCAACATCTACGGCAAATATTGTATCTGCGCCCATAGATTTCATTACCACAACGGGTAAATTGTTCATGTAACCACCATCAACTAATAAATCTCCTTTTTCGCATAACGGAGGAAGGTAAGCGGCTAATGACATTGAAGCTCTAATATATCTCCAAGCGTACCCAGCTTTATGAATTTCCATTCGTGACCAAGTGATATTTGTAGTGATACAAAAGTAAGATAACCAAAAATCTTCAATTAAAGTATCACTAAGACTTTTCCATATTCCTCTATTAAATTCATGTCCAGTAAACCATGCGGTTCTTGGCCACGTCAAATCCATTATTTGCCTCCATTTACTACTTACTCTACTTGCAAATACTTTGGCTCTACCTAATATGGCAACATTGTCTGAATCTCTTGCGTATAAACCACCAATAAAACTTCCAATACTTGTACCTCCGATCATATCAATTGGTATTCCAGCTTCTTCTAATGCTTTAATAACTCCGATATGTGAAATACCTCTCGCACCTCCTCCACCTAATACTAATCCAACACTTTTACCCACAAGTCTTCTTGCTAATCTAGCAAAATCACTTCTATTCCCTGTATAAATAGCGGGTGAACGTTTTGGTATACGTTTAGGATAATATTTTTGTAATTGATCTTTAATGTTCATTAAAGTATTTTTTCTTGGTTTTTCATCAAAAATTGGTGATTCAAATCTCATTAACACATGATGATGAGCATGAATCCAAGGTCTATTTTTTAACCAATTTCTTGTGGATCCTGGTGTACAATTTCTTTCCGCATGTAACAATACTAATTCTTTTCTTGCGGTCGTTTTTGTTCCTATTAAAAAACTTTCATATTCTCCGATTGATGCGTCACCATCTCCTATTCCAACTAATAATATACAATCGGCCTGCCTAATACATGTTTGAGACCATGAAGAATTACTTCCACCATCTGCTAAATATAATACTATTCTAACTTTTTCTTCCTGTTCCGCTAACCAACTAATTAATTTCAATCTTCCCATTCTGTTAAATACATCTTTACCTAATACATTAATAACACTTTCTTGATTTAACAATGTTGCATTTTCACCTATTCTACCCAAAGAATTTTTTAATTTTTCCGCAAATTCTGTTATCGGTACATTGCCATTAACGGGTAATATACAAACTGTTTTGAGATTAGTATTATTCTTTCCAAATTCGTTATTACCAGAATTATAATCTATTTCTTCTTGCATACGTGTACGTAATGCTATAATACGTGATATTTGTAATGTGATTTCTGGATGTCGAAGAGCTAAAGCATTAAATAATGTTCTTGGCATACGTGCTAATTCAGTATCACGTATAGCATGAAGTGTATATGGACGTGGAGTTCCTGTCATTACCTCTAATTCACCAACACTTTGACCTTGTCCGTATTCACCTTGAATATCAATGACACCATTTTTTTTTTCATTAATTGTACGTGCACGTCCATTCAATACTATATAAATACTATCACTTGAATCTCCTTTACGATATAATACCTGTCCTGCATTCACTTGAACCCAATCTAATGCAAAATCAATATGTAATAATAATGGTGATAATAAAGTGATTAATCTTTTTGCTAACGTTAATAATACATTAGGATTCTTTTCCATTAATCTATTCAATGATTGTTTGGGTAAAAAACCAACATAAGTATCCGTACTCGCTCTAATATTAACAAAACTAGGAAATCCAGTAAGTGCTGCCAAATATCCTGCCAATCCACCTGGTTTAATCATAAATAAACTTTTATCTCTAGTAGTTGAATTTAAATTATTACTAATAGAATCTTTCTTTTTATGATTATGATTATGAAGATTATTATTATTATTACTATGATTATTACTTCTGCTACTATTGAGAAAATTATTTTCATTGGATGTAACAAATACGTCCAATAATCCGTCAATAACAAAAAATAATCCCACATTTCTTCCTCCTTCTTGTACCAACAAATTTCCCTTTGGGAAGAATAATATTTCTACATCATTATCTAATTCACTTGTCATTGAAGGTATTGTTTCCGTTATTGATTCATCCTCTGGAATATTTAATAATGTAGTCACATTGCTATGTAAATCTGGTGAATTCTGTCTTAAATTATATTGACCGTTAATAGTATTCATATTATTACTATTAACATTTCCATTACTACCATTAACGTTGGTATTAACATTACTTTGAAGTAAACCAATTCCTTTTGAAATTCCTTCGAGTACAGATTCTCGGAGATACAAATCATCATCTGCATCATAATCTTTTCCATTTGTTGAAGTTCCACTGAATGGTTGTACTTTAGCCCTAACATGTAGTGGTAAAGGTGTCATCAAATGTTTTTTGTTTTTGTGTGAATTATTAATATTAATTGCGGTATCTTCTAAATTATTCTCATATATTGCACCGAATCTGGGCCTAACAGATGGTCTAGTTTTTTTCGATTTGTTAATCAATCCACTATCACTCATATCCATATCATCATGTCTATTCTCTCTTGGATGATACTTTTTACGTAATCTTTCCATACTTCCTGGTTTAAAGAAATCTTTAGGAAGTCCATAACTCGCAATATCATTCATTAATTTCTCTGTTCTTAACAAATCTTTTGTTAATCCCAAATATTTGTATCCTGTCCATAATGTAACACGTTGAAAACGCGTTAATATCACTTGGACAATATGTGCCACCGAATTAGGGAATTTCTCTGTTAATCTATGAAACGCTTCAGCTGGTATTACCGCTAACGTGGTATCAACTGTCGCCCTTGCTGTTATGTTAGGGTGAACGGATGTGGTAATCGAACATTCTTTTGATATTCTTCGTAATATATTTGGTTTCTTAAATGAAGTCGAGCTATGTGATGAAGTACTTTTAAAACTTTTCATATCAACTGGAGATTCCACATATAAATCTTGATCAAATGTTGTATGAAACTCATTCTTTACTTCATTCGTTTCTTCTTCCTTCCCTTCACTCCCTTTTCCTTCCTTCTTTTCTTCTTCATCTTGTCCTTGCTCAGGATCATTATATCTTATATCAATATCATCTGTGAATAAACTAAGGATAGTAAACAAGCTGCTCAAAGTTCCTCCATTAGTAACTTCATTCAATAATTGATATCCTCTATTATAATCGTCACTTTCAAAAGGATCTAATACAATATCTTCTTCATTAGCCGTTTTAACAAATACTTGAACATAACCATCAACAACAATATAAAAACTTCTTTCCTTCTCTAACATTAAACTTTCACCAGCTAATAATTTCTTTGTAGATAAATGTCTTGCTAATTCATGAAACACTGGCTTTTCCAAATAACCAAATATTTTAATCCCCTCCAAAAACATACTAAGAAATTCATCAGGATAATGTTTAACACCATCATCATTGTCTTCATCAATACTTGGATGTAAATCGTAAGATGCCCCTTGTTTGGTTGCTGTTTCTGTTGGAAGACGAGAATATTTTGTTAATATACGGTATCTTATAACTAAATATATTATTGTTATTACTATTACAAAAAATATTAATAAGGTAGTAAATTTTAATTGTAATGTAAGTGTAAATGACCAAGAAAGAATTTGTATTATCCATGAGGATAAAGTCAAAGTTACGAAAGATACTAAAGAAAAAACCCAACTAAATAAAGTTGAAAAAGTGAATGCTGTGATCGTATAAAAATCATTTACATTATCTCCAACATTATTAATAGTTATGTTGGTTATGTCTTCCATTGTATTGTATTGAGAAGAGAGAAAACAAAAATAATAAAATAATTTAAAAAACCAGATCAAGTGAAAAATTATTAAATCTTTGTGATTTTAAAAAAGAGTTATATAAAATAATTATTGTCATAATGGTCGTAATGCATGCATTATACTTTTTTGGATATTTAATACACCAATAGAATTTCGGCACATGAGAAAATTTTTTTATCTGAAAAAAAAATTGAGAATTTACTGATTTCATACTTGTATGCCATTATTAAACAAAAAAGCATTACATAGATGATGATTAAACGATTTAAATAAAATGGTTTTATAAGAATGTTATCAGCTTTTGTACCAGAACATGTTAATGTTCAATCTGTATTTCAAAGTATGAAAAAATATTGGAGTGAATTGAATATGATAAATTTTTTACAATTTGACAAGGAGGATTCGATACCGTGGAGTTAATAGTTAAAGTTTTTATAGAATTCTTAAAACGTTTGTTCGAAATAAATACAAGAAGTTAAATAATAATAGTAAATATTTAAATGAAAACTATCATTCGCTTTTGCTGAGAGTATTTTACGTAATATTGAGGAAGGATTAAATGTTATTATTTCACTCGAAACATATTAATAGGACTAAATTACTGAATTTAGGTTTAAGAAGAGGAAATGTTTGGAGTTTTGTGAATCATGAATCGGAATTGTTTAATGCTATCATATAATAATAAATAGAATTATGTATAACAGTTAATATATATTAATTTCAGTTAGTATTTAGTAAACTATGATAGTATATTTCTCTCTTGTTAGAATGGGGATACACGGAAATAACTATTTTTTTTTTTTTATTTTTTTTTATTATATAATACCCATAATCAATAGAATACGACAATAATTTTCTGGAACTTATTTAGTTTATCTCTCTTTAATACATAATACAATATTTAAAGAAAAAGAAATAAAGAAAAAAAATAAATAAATAAAAACATTTAGTTACTGATTGAGTACACCTAATTTAGCTGTTAGAAGAGAAAGGAAAATAGAAGATACAGTTACAAGAAAAACTTTTGGTGTGCTATTATCAGGTAATATAATATATTTTTGAGCGGGAGGAATAGCAACAGTATGAGTGTCCAAATAAACGAAATAAGCGTAAAGAGGGTAAGTAATACAATATGTAAAAGAAAATATCAAATAAGAACTTAATTTATAAATCCAAATTGTGCTAAAAATATTTCCAATAATATGAACTGAAGATGCTAATACTAATAATAAAGTATAATCAGGTCGGAAATAACCGAAAGCACGATCTTCAGTTGTATCGGATTCTAGTACGGGATTTTCTCCGCTAGTATTATCATGTCTTGTCCTTTCTGGATCAAAAAGACGTTGATGAGATTCATGACCATATTCTTTACGTGTATTAAAATATATACGTGTAAATTGAATGACCAACGCATAATCTGAACAAAGCCCTTGTACTTTAAACCAAAGAGCGTCATAGGGCCATTCTAAATATAAGCTTAAAGCTCCAGCGAACAGAACGTATAAAATCAACCAAGGCATAAATGAATTTGAAGAAATTCTTCCTCCGTGATGTAAGGAAACCATAATGATGATTTCATTTACATTATGTAATATTCCAATCGTTGACCAAATTTTTCCAACATCAATTAGGTAATAGAGAATTCCTGTTAAGGATGTAACTAAACAATAACTCGCCAAGTATCGATCAAATTCAATAGTAGGAACTTTATTTACCTCTCTATCAACGAAATATGTTAATAATTTGCTGTTAGTTTTTGCATCAAAATCCGTCCATTTAAATGCATAAAAACCCGCGACTATCATTAATACTACGGAGTAAATGATTGTTGCAGCATATTCTTCTTTATCATCTCCTGAAAGAGGTGGATGCCATACAGGATATCCAGTATGAGTTCCGTTGGCTTGCGAAGGAAGTTTAATTTTATTTACATCAATCGCAAAACTTAATATTAATATTACAAGGGCAACAGAAACTGTTATGCTGGCAATAATAGTTCCTGCTTGTCTCATTTTGTGAAATATATTTTTTTTTTTGGATAATAATTTATTTACTATCATTCGAATGCTCTTTATATATCTTTATATAGAATATGAGATTAGATATCTGATATGTATTGATAAACGAATATGGATAAAAGACTTATTTACAAGTATACTTAATGACTGTGTGTAAAATAATAATGTACATCATTAACAACTATAGTAATTATTATAATTAATTCTTCGTTATTGTCATTTACATATAAAGAAAAAAAGAATGAAAAAGAATAATAAATATAAAAAAGGAAAACAAGATAAATCTTCGCTAGATTCTAGATGCATCTTTACTTACTTTGTCACATTGCTTTAAAATGTTTTATATGCGTGTTTAATTTAAGAGTAATTTAAGTATTTTTCTTTTAAATTTTGGTCAAAGTCCTTTGATAATGTTTAAAAGCTAATCTTTCTATTACATTTAAATAATTACCAAACAAGATAGTCAAAAAAATTCTTTAAAATATGCTAAAATATACTTAAAATTTTAAGTGTAATTTGGGTCTATTTTAAAGAATACAAGTACATTTTAAATATATTTCTTTTTTCATAGGGCAGTAGAACGTTTTGTCTACATGTATAGGTTTGCAGTTCATATTTCTTTAAAAATGCAATCCCCAAGTATTAATAGTATAAATAGTATAGTGTATATAAATAAATGATGATATTAAAGAAATAAAGCCTTTAATTAAATCTAAAAATATTTGAATATGTATTTCTATTTGTTCAATTAACATATCATTAACATAATCTTTTTAAAGTCTTATAATTGTTTGTTTAATATATAACAGACATTTTTCAATTTTTGAATCCATTTTTTTTCCTTTATTCTATTGTAGGTACAGCTGTACAATATTTCTTCTTGGAATAAATTTAATAGTTTTTAAATTTTCATCTACTTCTGTATTATCTATATAGATGGCACCGAAATAAATTAAGATCTGGCGATTATTCTACTAATCTAATGATCACGTTCTTACTATCTAATTTGTTTCTTATGTCTATGGACATATTCTTTTATATCTCTAATATCATCTATACTAAATTAATTCATTTAAGGTTCTATATTTTCCTTCATTTTCTAATTGTTTTTTTCTGCAATTTTCTTATTATCGGCAAATAATTGCCTTGTTCGTCCATATCATTTGTTCTTTTAACTAATTCTAATTCTATATCATTCTTTTCATAGGATTTGTATCTATTGTTAATTTAGCTTTATTTACATTTATGCCTTTCATATGTTGTCCTGATTTTTTCCAAAATTCTTTTTCATACCCGTATCACATTTAATTAGTGATATTCAGTATAACGGGAAATTTTCTTATATGTTATCATAAAATTGATACCACACTGAAGATTTAAAAATTCACTATAAAAAAGTCTGATCGGGATGAATCAGATTTTACTCAATCACATGGAATTGGATCCAATTTTTAATGATAAACTAGATTTTAACCAGAGAAACTAAAAAACAAATTTAACATGGGAATAAATTTGATATAGAAGTTTTTACAATAGTAAAATTTATTTTATTGATAATATAAATATCATAAATATCGAAAATATCAGTTGTAATTTGAACGGCATTTGCAGAATTTGATATAAAAATTTGCGATTTTGAAAATTTGAAAATTATTGAGTTTGAGATTTACCCTTCAACTAATTTGTACGGTAACTATATATGCGATGCAACACTTTCTTTTAGTAAATTATTCTCATTATTGTCATACTGTTTTCAAATAACTTACCCATAGCAGATAATGACTTGTAATTATATACATTTCTAAATTTATGGATAATCATATTATTGATTTCTATTTAATACAGTAGCGGATAATCATAATTACGATTTATAAAATATCGATTATTATATTTGAACGACAGTTGTCCATCCTTGACGATGAGAACCTTTTTTCGCCCATCTATCATAAAAGGAATTAAAATAAGTATAAATTATTCCCGAAAAATATGTAATGAAAATTAGGACTTACAACTCTAACAATTTATCACCGTTAGGATTTTGTTCATTATATACTGCTTGCGGTAACATGGTTTCTATAATGTCATACATAACTCTCGGCTTTCCTTCAGTTAACATTTCTAAATTTAAATATCTATTTGTTAAACTTATTCATAAACATCGTAAATATTATAATTGAAAATCTTACCTAAAGTTCTGGGCTTTATAAAGTCAAAAACACAATCTGGATTTCTTTGGTGGCGTAACTCAATATCCCCTTCCTATTATATAAATAAAAGAATAAAGCGCATTAGATATCGCGAAATTCCTAATTCAAGCTGAGTTCAATAAAAACATAAACCTTGCGAAATATCAAGAGAGATAATTTTGACTTATTGAAATATCGGTATGGTGCACGTGAAATTTGATTGTTAATATGTTTCTTTATCCAGCAGAAATTTTCCACGTATCGAAAATTCCATTTCTCTGCTATCTGAACAATATCCGGTATGAATTCTTTTTCAACCCAAATGAAAAGGAAACCTTTTGGGACGATATCAGGCACTTTAAGGCTTTCCTAAAGATAGTATTCCATAAATTAATAAGCTTTCGATTCGTTTAAATAAGCAATGGTGTAAACTCGTTTTTACAAATTGCTGTAAAGTAATCTTTTCGGGTGAAGGTTCCTCGTCTGGTAATAGAAAAGGTGGGTCAATATACACTGCTTGAAAATCTTGACCAAGTTTTTTAAGATCCATTGATAAGATATCGTTTTCAAAATATCTAACAAAAATTGAAAGATTAATGTAAATTCATATAAAAAAATCTTTATGTATATAATTTAGTTACCTTGACCCGTGAATCATTAAAGTTGATTCAATTTTAGGTGGAAGAATTGTATGTGCCCACGAACGTGGTATTGGTAATGACGGAATTCTTATATATGTGGGAAGACTAGGATCTATATTGCTGTTTGTATTTGTTTATTATGTACATCATATAGAAAATTTTCAGTCATTAGATATTGATTGTCGCAGCAAAAAGTTTATTTATAAAAAAGGATAATTTTATAAACCAAATTTCCTTCTTTTACTTAAATCAATACTTTTTATCCATGGATAATTATTTACCTGACTTTCTTTTTTACTGTAAAAAAATTCCCGTTCCTGTCCTGCAACTTGACTTGCATAATTTTGTATCGTTGCAATATACTTTCACGATCAAAACCACGTCGTCTTTCGGGCGATGATTTATCATTTTTCCGTTTTCGCTTTTTATCTCCGAATTCAGCATCCCAAAAGTCGTTGTCAACCGCCATATAATCGCTAAAATAATACAAAATTTTTTTCTGAATAATATAATGCTGAGATGTAATTTACCCGGATTAACATATTATTACACACTCTTCTTCCTCGTATTCAGCAGTGTTACCATCCTCTAGTTCAACACGCCAAAAATCTAAGTCATCCAGTTCGTCAAAATTAGGTGCGAAAGTAGCGGATTTAACCGTAAAACTAGAAGTTCTCCTAAAAACTTCTTCAAGTTGTTCTTGTGTCAAGCCATTTTCCTGAAAAGTATTATTTTTATCATTTAGAGGATGAACTTCAGCTGTTTCATTAGCATTAGAGGCCGCAATTTCTTCTCGAATTCGTTCTAATTCTTCAAATTTCTTCATAATAGCATCAATGGATTCATCGTCCTCAACATAACCCACATATAGAGCATTACTTTAATAAAATTATAAGTTGTATAATTAGTACATTAACGCGTAACGGAAAACGCGTCAAGTAAACATAAAAATACCTAGCAGTAGAGATATAAGGGTTATGTTGCCTTTGTCTTAAAGATCTCTTGCTCATTTTTAAATACACAGTTTTATCATTAAAACGCGAAGTAATGATAGTAATGATACGAATAAAAATTCATTATCCGTATTGTTGAAATTTTATTGGCCAGTGAATGTTGATCATCACGTAAAATTAAACCAATGAGTGGATTTTTTTTTAAAAAAAAACACAACGACCCTGTTCAATTCGATCCACGAAAATACTAGTAACACCTAGGGGTTAGATAATAAATAAACGGGGGCCAACCCAAATGTTACACAGATTGATCAAACTGTCGCCATAAGTAAATTCTATGTGTTAATAAAATTAAATAAAAATTACCCCATGTTTAAAGTGAAAGATGAAAAAAAAATGATAAATCGGTAATGACGAAATGTGAAACTACACGAAAATAATTTTTTATATTTTTTAAAATTCTGGATCGGCTGTTTGAAATACCTCAAAAACATATAAAATTTTATTACACACTTGAAAATAATACATAATAAAAGAAGAAAAGGCTATTTTAAAACGTTTTACATAAAAATATGATATAATTTTAACTTTCTATCATAAAAGAGAACAAAGCAACCAGTGATCTAATTTTAATGAAAAAACTTCGCTTATTTAGAGCTAGCATATACAACCTTGACTTCTGCTTTTCTATGTGTACATGTTGAAAAAATAAAAAAAATCGTTCGTGTCAGTTCTGTCGGTAACACCACCTTAGTTTTTTGTTCACGTCCCCTTAAATGTCACCGGTCACGTGAGATGAAATTTTAAATAGGTGTTCGCGTTGCCAGCGACAAACCATATTTATTGTTTATGATATGATCCTTTTTCCGATTCGAGCGATACGATCTAGAAATGACCGTACTATGGCTGTTTATTTAAAAGAAAAACAGTTCTTTTTCCTTTCAGTTTAAATTCTAACCTGATATTTAACAATATTCAAGCTCTTGTCTCCTACATATAAGAGAACACTGTGTGTTTCCTACACTGAATTTTTAAATCATTACCGTAATGTCGTTTTTTCCTCACAGCTCACCTGGGCTCGTAGATTCTTGAAAAAAGCAAAAGAATTAAAAGAAAATGACTATGCAACTATAGAAAAGAAGGTTATGTATTCATATATTTCGCAATAATAGGGAGCTTCTGTCTATTTTTATCTGGATTAGAAGTATTGGTTTTTGTCCCAGCCCGAGTAATGGTAGTGGCAACTCCGCTTATTTTCATCTGGGTTAGGAGGTATCGGCTTTTATTCCGGCCCTACCATTGCGATTTATTGAAATAAAGTTTCTTTTACTTATTATATATTATTATATGGAAGTTATATATTCATCTCCGGCTTCGTATTCCTGCAGGTAAAAACAACGTGTAAACAAGGGTTTGCAGATCTACTGGGAAACAATAATCTACGAGCGGGAAAAGGTTTTTATGCCATTTACCTTTATGTGTTAAATTTTTGTATTATCACATGAGATAACGATTAAACTCTTGCAAAATAGATGAAAGCACAGCGAGCACATCTAACGGGTAGTATGAGAGTATATGGTAAAGTTGCAGAACATAACAGTGAAACACTATCCTCTGAAGACTATTCCAATATCTTTACTTCTTTTGTGTTAATGTGAAATAGTGTTTTCCATAAACTTACTGAGCGTATGTAGACAGTAGCCGATGTTTTTAACTCCGAAAGAGAGGAATATTCGTTAGCTGCAAATGTTTATTTTTTTCACTATTATCTGTTGAAGGAGACTGAGGGAAAGGAGGCGACAAACGATAAAGTTACTCCGTCGTTAGATTCCTCATCCGAATATCCCTTCGTAGGTTTACTTTATGTATTACTTTTTATAATTTCAAATTTTTTGCATGTATTTTTAGTGAGGAATCAGAGGATGATGATGAATTTGAGCTTAAATTTGAGCTATATTAATTGTCTATCGTTGAAGTTCCAAATTTATTATGTTTTTTCTTATATTGTCATAATCCAAAAATGCAAAGTTGAAGTCAAATGAGCCATCCTTTAATTGCCTGGGCAGTCTATCCAGCTCATTCCACTGATAATCAATTACGAAGAAACGACTTCATCATGGGCGAAAACTCAAAGATGGTGGGAAATTATATACGTGGGAAGACTAAGAGACCCTTAGAGGCAGGAGATGATTATGACACACAATGAGTAAGTTATTGATTTTTTTGTGAGATGTATTGGACAGGACTTATATGAGTTGGAAATAATAGCCTTGCGTATTACGATATAATTGATGTTACACCCGGTACCAACAGTGATTTTGTTAAAAAACGATCAAAAGATGATATCGACAATAGTGACATCAAGGAATTAATCGTGAAACTAGTTAAGGTATTTCATGTTGAGAAATTATTATCGAGTAGACTTGGGTAGACTTCAGAAATGTCTTATTGCATGTTTTTCATTACAGGAACCTGATTTTCAAAAAGGTTGTAGAAAATAATTTTTTATCGAAATGACGATAGAAAACAATTTACGTGGGATTTTGCATACCAACTGTAAATTACTACTTGCATTAGACTATGCAATATATTTTCTATAGCTAACCTTTGATTTCTTTTTTATTAGTGCTAATTCCTTGAGCGCGGAAATGATCTTAATGAGAATTTATCTGAAAGAGTGTACCATGAAGTCTTTTTCACACCAATCATGCGAATCTTGTTTCAAAAATTACGTGAAGATATGAAGATTTTTTGTAAGTGACAAACGGTATGCATTCTAAGATTGCTTATTATATCTTAATAAAAAATTTGATTTTTTAAGTGGCGAGATGTCCTTACTTGCGTCAGCGGAAGATTATGATCTAACCAAAAATGATGAGGAGAATCGAGGTATCGGGGAGAGTTTAAGCTTACTAAAGCTATATGGTTTACAAATCTACGGTAAGTATTTTCAACATCTTTTATTTGTTTTATTGTGTTCTATGCATGCTTTGTTATTAACTCAAATTGCTATAGATTATACTGAGATGGCTGTGCCATACAAAGAGTTATATGTGTATAGAGAAGTTCAGCGGTTCCATTTACCAACGAATCGTAACAATGTAATATTATTATTATGTCGATCTGTGCTAAATTTCCTTCTATTCAAGGTATGCACCTTTATGTGACTTTTTTGTTTGTTTTTTTGTATACTAACTGGAACGTATAATGCCTTATAGGAAATGCTTATCCAGAGTTTAGATAATTTGAATACATATATAATGGAATCAGGCCTCCACACGCCGACTGAAAATGAGTGCATCCTTTTGTGACACAGATGTCATATACACCGAAAAAATAAAATATATCTTTATTATGTTTATTATGTGATAAAGCATGATTACTTGAAATTTGTTAAAAATACACTCATTGGTTTAATTTCACGTGATGAGCAACATTCACTGGCCAATAAAATTTCAATTAAACTTTTTTTATTACGATACGATACAATTATTACTTATAATACTATCAATGAGGAACCGCTACATCTACAAATGTTTAACTGAAGCAGATTCTCGGGTAGTGCCTTACATGCTCCGACTCTTTTAATCTGAATTCACATATGAACGCGCATTACATAACGGATAAGGGATTTGCGCAATATATGATGAAACATATTACAAAAAAGAGAACCCTCACACATATTTAATATTAGTGAAAACGATCTATTAAGAGAGATTATAGTAGCGCGAAGGCTTTTGATTCCTCCGCCCCTTCTACGCGAACACGTGCAATATTATTAATTTATATGCTGGACGATGACGTACTACGATGACGCCTTTACAAAATACATATCCCCTCCAGAATTCAAAAACCTAACTTATTCCCGCGACGACCTAGGCAATATGTCATAAAACCCAGATATCAACTTTATTTTGCCCAAAAAAATGTACCTGCAAGAAGTGAAACTGAATACAAGACTTCACTAACAATGAGGCTTTATTCACAAACACGGATTTAAAGGTTCGCCTAAAAAAGGTCGATACGATAATTATTGATGGTTTTTCGCCGAGTTACTTGATTTTGTAGACACCTTCGCAATAGTTCGAAGGCGACTATGTAGGTGATCTCGCTCAACTTCTTCTGTGCTACCGCTCGGAGCCTATTTTATCCATTTATTTCTCTAAAGACTCCTCGTCGATATGACGTTCTACCAACCTTGGAAGAAGTACGAATAAATAATACCTCCTCACAAATATGGAACAGGCTAGTACAACGCCATTCAGAATTCACGTTTCAACCCACGAAAAACGCGTTCCTTAACACCGCTTACGTCGTCGGAGTTAAAAGAAACTGCCCAACAAATCAACACATCTATCTGTAACATGCTTCCCGTTCCTCCCAACAACTTCCTACTATCACAAGCATCCGATTTTATGAATTCTAATTAATGGGATCCCTCACATTCATATCGCATGTTCAAATCAAAAACAAACTTATTTCGTTTGTAACCAGGAGCTTCGAGCGATGAGTACCGCATATGTAATGGCACCAAAGGAGTAATTACCGGCATTAGCCTTTCAGAACAGTGTGTCCGAGTTGCGTTCTCTTAGAGGATCAATAATAGATGTAGACGTTTACAAACATATCCATTATTTCAATGCTAATGGAATAACGCCCAGTTCCCGTTACAAACTGCTTTGCGTTCACTGTCCACAAGACCCAAGGATTGACCCTATCGAAGGTCACGCTCGCGTTGGACGGTAACACTTTCTCTCCTGGTTAAACGTATGTTGCCATCAGCAGGTCATATCTTTCCTCGATAGGTCGGCGTTTATCAATCATGAGTATCAGAGATTGCATGCCCATATGTTCTCATTAAAAAAAAATTCTATATTGCTCTCTTTTACCTCAAGATTATAATAAACGAGATTCCCGCATAATATTAAATATAAAAATGTTATCATATTTTATACTTATTATTATTTTTATCGTCACAAACCAAATAAACAATAATATGGAACGGTGGGACTCGGTATGCATTCAAATTACGCCAAATTTTTTTAAGAAATATACTAACCGCAATTTTTTTATATAATATAATTACATAGTAACATTTAATAACACTTTCTAATTAGTATTAAATATATGTAAGTATTTTTTTTACTTTTAATACTTTTAATATAAAAACTCTTCACATAATTTTAATAAAGCGGTTATTGTGTAGAGTTTACCTTTTTACAACAGACAAAATCAAATATTTAAAAATCAGATGTAAGCAAATAACTCAAACACCATATTCCCATTTAATTTTTATATGATTACATTAAGTTCCTTTTTCAGGTAACAGACTTATAAGAACTTCAATGATTTATTAAACGTATACTTTTTATTGAGTGACTCCAATATGGAATCATATTTAAAAATTCATCCGTTGGAGATTTAGGCTATAAAAAAAATATATATATAAATACATTCTTAAACAAAATCATTAGCAATGAATAATTTATACTAACAATTAGGAGCGTCCCTGATTTGTGAAACAGCTTCCTCTCCCATCGCACTGACGACAGTAGCCAAAAATTCTTTACCTATCAAGATAGCAAAATTTAAATAATTAATGAATTATTTTACTAAATCAAAGGAATTAAATCGTTTAAGATAAAGTATATCCAACCGCCTTCAATTTCTTCACGAAATTTCTTTACGTCTTTGTCTTTTACTAGCTCGGGGTCAATTTTAATGTCATCCTTAGTACTACCATCAGAAGTCATCAAACTCAAGTAACCATCCTCGTCACATCCAATGACTGTATATTCAGTACCTGTGAAGATAATTAAATTATAAGTTATTTGGTTCTTCCTAAATTATATAATTAAATAAAAGCTTACGAGAAACATTAGGAACATCCATGTTGTGAGTAGAAGGAGAAATGTCTGTTAATAAAAAATAATAAGTTATTCATACGATCGTAAAGTTTATATAAATAATTTTGAATCAAATGTTAAAGAATAATTATCACACAATATAAATAAAATTTTCTATTTCTCACCCTCAAGTTTCTTATTAGTGAAGATATCAAGACCAACAAGGTGGACTTTCTAAATTGAAAGTCTGATAAGCAAAAGGCAATTAAAAAGATTGCAAAGTACAACTATATTATGAAAACATACCGCGTGTCCATGTTTGCCAGTCTTGCTCGTGGACATTTCAATGATCTTGCAAGGCCTACCCTTAAGAACGACAAAGCCGTTCTAAACACAAGTACATCATAGTTTCGGCCAATAAAATTAAAAGACATTATTCTGAATGTGATGAAAATTCTAGTAAAAAAAATTTTATTAAAAAAGGCTATACCTTTCTGAGGGCAGAACATTGCATTGGATAAGTGGCTGATGCTCCAGAACCTGAGGATTCAAAATCATGATCACTCATTTTTAAACAAAAAATATAAAATTTTAACGTAAGAGAAGGTTATTGATTAGAAAGTAAAGTAATAAGAGGTAAAAAAAAATTCGCATTACGCATAAACCGGCTTCTTGTACAATCAGATCTAAAAAGCCTGGATTATGTCATAAGTCATTATTCTGGCGCATGCGCCGCGCCACAGCCCTTACCACGTGATACATCCAATCAGAAAATTCTCGATCATCGTGTCGCATTGCATTCACGCTAGTTTTTTCTTTTGAATAAAACAGGGAATAGTGTAGTAGAATTTTAAATACTTGTATTTTTTATTTTGATAAGTAATTCATTAAACCACAGCATCAAATCACCACTTTTCTTTCAAGCTTTTTTTAAGAGTACATTCTATATAATATGCACATTAAATATACTGTATATTATCTGGAAATCCTATTTTCAAAATTATATATAACAAATACTTGAAAATTTAATGTGATGACAGATTCTAAAGAACATAAAAAAAGAAAATTTGATGATTATTTATATCAATATTGACAGTTTATTTAGAATTGTAAATAGTAATAATGCCTGAAATTTTAATATATAACAGTACAGAATCTAGTTATGTATATACTTTATTATATAGATTATAATTTTTCAAAATTTTACATGACAAAAATAAATTACTTTAACCAACATCATAATGTTTATATTATAATTTTGTAAATGATAAGCTTTAGCCAGTTTTATTATTTCTTTTTAGATTTTTTTTTTAATTAATCATTTTTTTCAATTACTATTTCATATGTTTTAACAATAAGTTTTCTTTTTTTTTGGATATAATTTCTAATCTTACTTTTTAGTAAATTAACAATTATCTTAAAAAATAAGTTTTTTTTTAATTTATCATTAATATAGTTGTATAAAAATAAAAATTAAAAGTATGAAAATTTAATATTATATTTTTAAAATTTAGTATTACAGTCAACTCTCTTTATAGTCACACATTTGGGACAGTCCATATTTGGTGATTATAAAGATATGTGACTATATAAAAAATTTCTTATATTAGTATATCATAATTCTGGCCAAAAATTAACATAATTTTAGCCAGAATTATACATAAAACTTTATTGTATCGTAATTCTGCCAATATTAATCGTAGAGAAATGTTCTTATCGACATTCAATTCGTCTTGATGAGACAGTTCTAATTATACATGTAGCTAAAACTTCTATGAAGCTGAACAGGGTTTTGGACTTTTAGTAATTTAATTATAATAAATTATTAAAAACTATCCAGAAATCCATCTGAAACTCCAAAGACTTTATATTATAGTTTTGGCCGGATGTAGAGATTAATTTTTATCATTTTTTAACTTAGTAATTTTGATTTAAAGACGTGGCCAAAAATCACGTGAAAAGGTTTTGGCTACAAGTATAGTTCTAATGGTATAAAATATATCGAAATCTAATCACTAGATTAATTTTCAAAATTAAAAAAATATTAATGGTTTTTGTGTAATAACTCTGCCAATATTGATCCTAGAAAGACGATATTACTACCATTCGATTCGTCTTGATGAGATGAATCTAATGGTATAAGATACATCGAAATCCAATCGCTAAATCAATTTCCAAAATTAAAAAATATTAAATGGTTTTTAAGTAGTAACTCCGTCAATATTAATCACAGAGATATGAGCTTACCATCATTCGATTCGTCTTGATGAGGCAATTCCAACGAGCTATTAATCATCTTTTTACAATCACTAAGTACCGAGAAATTTAGCAAAATGTTAAATGGCACAGTAAACATAAATCAAGAAATATAATAATGCCGATGCTTAACATTTTGTTGAATAACTTATTAGCTAGTAATCGTAAAAGGATAAAACTAGGGTTGATCACCCTATCTCAGTGGTTAGTCACTGAGACCCTCATTAAGCCTGAGTATGGTGAGGTCGCAGGTTTAATTCTGCCGATCACGGAAATTAAAAATGAATTTTACTGCGGACGCTACAACCAATAGCGTGAAGGTACATCAGGAAATTTGCTTAGGCATAATTTAGTGTAATATTTCGAAGGTGGTGTAAAATTTCAAAATATTACACTAAAAACGTAATATTACAAAAGTTTACGCTCTTAAATTTGAATAATTATAGTAATTTAAGAATATCTTGCTATCTACTGATCCAATCAAGACGATCTATAGCTCATTGGAATCAGCTCATCAAGACGAATCGAATGGTAGTAAAATCGTATCTTTACGTTAAATAGATGATTTTCTATTAATTTAAAACTTTACTGCATACTATAGAGTGTTCTATCAACTGTAGAAATGCGATTTTACTACCATTCGATCCGTCTTAATGAGCTGATTCCAATGAGCTATAGATCGTCTTGATTGGATCAGTAGATAGCAAGATATTCTTAAATTACTATAATTATTCAAATTTAAGAGAATAAACTTTTGTAATATTACGTTTTTAGTGTAATATTTCGAAATTTTACACCACCTTCGAAATATTACACTAAATTACGCCTAAACAAATTTCCTGATGTACAGGGATTAGCGTAGTTGGACTGCATCATGGTGAATTAGTGTGTACAGTTAGGCCGCACATTTCAACTAAAAGTCATGGTGTCCTTCTAACGTTCCCTATGAGGCCATTGGCATGTGCGCAGTCCTGTCCTTGAGGTCACTACTATACCTTGGGGGGACTTCCTGTCCGGGTGGTCACTTTACGATACCACTTGGGATCAGTAATGGCTAGATGGTCGTCCTAGATGGTAAAGCTGAGGGTGCAATGTCTTAGTGGTAGTTTGACCTTCTGTTAGGTTTTCGACCAACCAAGGTGTTCGTGCACAGAACAGGTAGCATAGTTATGAGGTTCATTTTTCTACTCTTTGGGTCCTGGTTGGTGATCCCTGGTGGTTGATACCCATCATAAGGGGTGATCCTGGACAGATACCTGCTACTTCCTGTCCAAGTGGTCACTACAAAGTATACCACTTGGGGTAAACAACTATACTATCGGTGCTAGGTAATCGTGAGCTGTAGTGGCCTTTGAGTGAGACTTAATACCTAAATGGTGGTATGGAAGGGTACTAGATGGTTGATGTTACCTATCGAAAGTCCTCTATGAAAGTAGGTGCTCTCTAAAGGTCGTAAAATAAATTGAGTACCAGTATCATGCAATGGATTAAGGATGAGTAGGCGGCGTGTACCTAGCTTCAGATCAGCCTAAAATGGCCCGATGGGGGATGTCTTTTAAGTGGTGCTGTTACCTGAGAAATTAAGTACTCAGTATAATGGTTGCATATGGAGATGATAGGACACAGACCTGAGATTAGTCTCATAAGAGGCAATGGGTGGTCTGGCCGTAAACACTAGCAAAGTAAAAGGATAAAACTC